TGCCCGTTCCCCGGGATATGCTTCCCCAGCCAAGCTGCCCCTCCTCGGCCAGCCCTCACCTGCTGCCCCCTCGCTCCAGCCTACCTCTGTCCATAAGAAAGACATTGCCAATCTCAGGCTTTCTGCTCTGTCCGTCACCCTCGCTCTCCTCCTCCAGGTCCCGCCACAGCTCATAGCTCATCTGTGACAGGCAGAGCATGCCGGTACACTGAGGCCGCCCCCAGCCCCTCACATGCTGCCGTGCTGCCAGACAGGACACAGGCCAAGGCATCCCACAGGGATAACCGGCTGCAGCGGGCCTGGGGCTCACCGACTAAGGCTGTGCACAAGAGCTTCCCCCTCCAGGGCACGGGGTGCTCCGCAATGCCCCAACAAGCAGCAGACACTGCTGTGACTTCCCCTGCCCAACCTTGGCACACACAGCGCTGGCTGGGAGCCGCAGGACAGCAAGGACACCCCCAGAACTGCCTGGGAAGAGGCAGCCATGTGTGCCACCTCTACAGTGATGTGATGGGGTTGGATTCCCGGTGAGCCGTACACCTTACGAGCCAGGCAGTGTGGGCTGTACCTTGGCACACCTGCCAATCCCATAGGCCTTGCCGAAAGGTCCGTACAGGGAGTTCAGTAACTGCAGGGCTCGAGCGACAGAATTGATCCAGCGGTGATCTCCCTCCTGCAGGGACGACAAAACGTTGGGGTGCAAGTCTGGGCAGGCTGGCTGGGAAACGACTGCCATGCCGGGGGACTGCCAGGCAGTGTGGGCTGTACCTTGGCACACCTGCCAATCCCATAGGCCTTGCCGAAAGGTCCGTACAGGGAGTTCAGTAACTGCAGGGCTCGAGCGACAGAATTGATCCAGCGGTGATCTCCCTCCTGCAGGGACGACAAAACGTTGGGGTGCAAGTCTGGGCAGGCTGGCTGGGAAACGACTGCCATGCCGGGGGACTTGGCTGGAGATGGACTGGGGATGGAGCAAGCCCTGGGCTTGGCTCTTCCAGGAGGAACATACACAGGAACATGCTGGGATGCCCCAAAGCTGCTTGGGAGAGAGCACAGGAGGGGCCAGCACCAGGGGGCTGTGTGTGGGGGAGGAGAGGCATCACAGCCTGTCAGAGCAGCCACCTCCAGTAAAAGCCACCCCAGGACAGCAGACAAGGGCCTGTGGTGAGGGCTGAGGGGACTGAGCAGGACATCATGCATCAGCTCTCTAAACTTAGCTCTTCTGTCCTGAGCTCAAGAGACAAGAGAGGGAAAGGCTGCCACCCCGCAGGGCAGTGTCCCTGAAGCATCATCCCACTGACCAAGAAGTAGTCACGAAAGAACTCTGGCAGCTCCATACTGATGATGTCTTCGTCCAGGGGGAGCAGGTAGAAGGACCATTCATCACAGGTAACATCTGAATTTGGGACAGGGAAAGGTGACAGTTACCCAGCCCTCAGCAGAAATAGCCCCAAGAATCATGACAGCCCTGCAAAGAGAAGCATGGGGAGCAGAGAGATGGGGCTTTTCCACAGGGATTCACGGCAGGACCATCTCTCTTCCCAGAAGACAGAAGAGAGCTGTCAATGCTGCAGCGTGCACTTGCCTGCCTGCAGGCAGGCAGTCAGGCTCAAGGGAACCTGCAGTTCCTGCCCACACTCCTGTCCCTGCCAGCACAGGGATCCTAGTACTAGGATTCAACTGGGATTCTGTGGCAACAGAGCTACCACGAGCCAGCACTCGAGGAGGGGAAGGGGCAGGCACCACAGCCCCACTTACCACCAAAGACTCCCTCTTCCTCCAGCACCATCTCGCAAGCATAAAACTGGAAGAGAAGGAAAGACCCTCAGAGCCCAGCCACGTTCCGAGCATGCAGCTAGAGACCTGGCAGTGGATGGGACAAGCTCATTCCCAGACATCACAACACTTGGTTTTAATTAAACATTTCTGGCTTAGAAATGAAGTTCTTCCGGTGTCTGTAGGAAGGCACGAAGGCCGGGCAGACACTAAACAGTGGTAACCGGCAGGTAACTGCCAGCAGAGTGCGGTCAGACTGACCTTTTGGGGGCTGAAGATGATCTTGTACTTCCTGTTTCTCCCTGACATCTTGTCAGCATTGACAATACCTGCGGACAAAAAACATGTGGATTCTGCAAAGGCTGCCCAATTCCTGAAGTGGCACAACTCCTGTTATCTGATGAGGTCCTGGGTCCCACATCTCACAGGACCTCAAACACCTTGGGCAGAAAGCAAAACCCCAGACGCGGGGCCCATCTGTCAAGGCTGTGGACTTGCCAAAAGCCCTTCCCAAGCTCACCAGTCACCGGTAGCCCAGAGCACCAGCCCTCAGCCCATGCAGCACAGGACACCCCCCCATGAAGCAGT